TGACCCTCTTTTACGCTTGTTCGTGACCAAGAAGCGAGTTGGAAATATGATAGCAGCATCGATACGATTATCGAGTAATAGCATATAACGCTCATTTTGATTTTTGAGAGCATAGAAGATAGTAGAGATATTTTGTGTTTAATAATCTACATGGGCTGAACCATTTAAAATTCCAATGCGAGAAAAAGGTAAACGGCCATTTTTAATATCATCAATACCGGATATATACGGTTGAGTCCGTTGTAGTGTGAGAAATGAGGAAAAATTAGCCGTATACGTAGCCGCTAGAATAATGCTCAAAGTGAACAATGCAACTGTCATTATTCGACTTGATTTTGTTTTCAAACGTAAATCATTGCCCATTCCGACGAAACAACTCAACGCTTGATATATACTGAAAATGATCGCACGAAGTCCTCGACAATCCTTACAGCATATGGTTGCGATCAGTATGCTTATCCCTATCTTCCTGATTGATCATATTTCGATTACAAGAAAAAAATTTTTTTTTCGAAATTCCCGTATTCCCCCTCAGGGATCTAGGAGGGTCGAAAATTTTTTTATTTTTTCGAAGAAATGGTCTATGCCATTCGATCCAGGGTAGAATTGTAATGCGTGTAAAGTGAAAATTTTCATAAGTGAACGTCCTTGGAAAACGCTCGAAGTCGTTTTCCTCGATGCTGTTTACCTAGCTTTTGACAGTATATGCCACTTTTTGTGTCCATTCCACCCTTTTTTTTTCCTAATTTTTTTACCATTTTGTAGAGAATCAAAAGTTACACAACATATAAAAAATTCAGTCTGGGCTCTGATGTTTTCGATAAATGACAGCAGATATACCTCTAAAAGTCTAACGTCATAGGCTAGTAATCTGCTACCTTTTTTCACTCATGTTAGCCTAGTAAAGAAATGATATACAATATTTCATATAGCTCATTTTTTTCATCTATCCATACCCTATCATTTGGTATATAACATGAAAAAATTCTCTCATTCTTAGTAGTGTTATACTATCAGACATTGATGAGATGATTTATCATTGTTTTTCTTGATACTAGGTGGACGGTGCTAAAAATCGATTCAGGTTAACTTTACTATAAAAAGTTCAAATGAGCTAAAAATTTAGGGTTATTAGTTTCAGACATTGTCCTTTCGAATGCACATAAAAAAATCAAAAATTTAAATTTTGACGAGTGCCACGTGTACTGAGGCCATGCTCGATAATATCGTGGAGACTATCTTAATAACCTTATAGCTGTTCAAATTCAAACTCAATCGCAAAGGATTCGATTACATCAAAACAAGATGATCTGCTCTCACATTAGATGAACTTTTATTCAGAAACATACTTTCGATTAGTGTATGCAATACAATGAGAAATGCTTGCGGAAAATTTTCTTTTGGACTTATAGCATCGAAAGTCAACTCAAGAATCCAAAATGATAAAAGTAGAATCAAAAAAATTTCTTTGTCATATTCACTAGAACTCACTTGACGATTGAGATACTTTCGAGAACAAATCAATCGTTCGATGAATGTACTGATGTTCTATTCAAATTTTATTGCAATGTAATATGTGATTTCACTGCATTTATGATCACGAAAATGATAGATAGTCTTTTTATTGAATTGTTCGAATGATGCATTATATAAACGAAATAGAAAACTTTCAGAATACGGACGTCTTAATCGAATTTCTTGATCTGGTAAGAGATTATTGTAAGTGTGGGTCTTCCTTTCCTTCTGACACACATCCACAATCACACTCCACTCTCTCACTATAGATTCTACTATGAGTGCAATAAGGTAGCAACATATTACAAACAGGAAACCAATCGTTTATTTCGTCATAAGACTACATAGCTGTAAACGATACAACGATTTCTCTCGTAATCCTATATTGAGCATACAACAATCTTAGATATTCACAATGATTCACGATAAATAAAGGGAACACTAGGTATCACAGTAATGTTCATTCACTAAATATTAGCGTTGCCAGTAATGGTTGTCAACATATCGGTATTATTCTTGTCCACATCGATGGTTTCCTAAAAACACAATGACATCAAGTGAAAGTAAGAAAGCTCAGAATTCGTACATACGGAGATAGGAAGACTATTAAATCGATGTCTTCGTGCAATTGATTTGATTTCGTTGGACACGGTCTGTGATACCTCATTGTCATTATTCTTATAGTTGTTCATGAAATGGCGTCGAGAGTTACTCTGATCTATTGAATTTGGCAATGGGAACGATGATGATGGTGGTGAAGTCAACAGACTTGTATCGATATCATATCTACGAATAATATCTTTGTTTTGATTGATCAAATTGGGTTTTTCTTACTCTTTTTTGTCATGGATATTGACGATGAGAGAATCACTATAGGAATGTCCACGTCCCATTTCCAGATCCTCATTTTCTTCATCGGAATATTTGTTGAAGTTAATTTGCTCGGGTTTAATATAGCGTTTCCGTGTATATACTCGTTGATACCGATCGACCAGAACTGAGACAAGCATACCAACAGTACCCACACCAGTCAATGCACATAGAACAGCAGTTAGACGTCCAAGAACTGTGACTGGCACTATATCACCATAGCTAAACATGCAAAAGAAAACAAAAATAATCTTTCTCTGCCTCTCTCGCTATGCCACTTGTTGTCGAACTACACTTTCTATGAAAACAGGCGTTCTTACCCAACACTAGTGATTGTCACAATACCCCAATAGGTAGCCTTTGGTATGGAGTCAAAACTCGAATTACCATTTGTACTCTCGATGAGGTAGACAGCCGAACCAAAGAGAAAGGCCATTAGCGTCAATGTGATTGCCAAAATAAGGAAATCAAGCATCGATTCTTTTACTGTCACGGCAAGAACATGTATGGTTTTAATATTTTTAAAAACTCGATAAAATTTAAATATACGAGCACATCGAAGAATGCGTAATAATGCGAAACTATTATAAATGTTAATATTTTGATGGTCTAATTGATTGACAAGATTTATGGTATTAGTGATATAGAATGGGACGACAGCAATTATATCGATCCAATTCATAAAATTCTTGAAATACTTAGATAACGATGGTGTGCTAAATAGACGTAGAATCAGTTCAAGAGTAAAAAATCCAATACAAATCATCTGAATTCGATGAAATGGTGATGAAAAATAGGAAAGACATATGCGTTTGCTTGTTTGAACGTCGCTAGAATTTATCGAGTCATTGTTCGTTCCAATTTTATGCTGCTTATATTCTTTTTTACATGTGTCTTCCAATAATTGGGAATATTGTGGCAAAGATTCGAGTGCCAAAGTAATCGTAGAGATAAAAATAATAATTAACGAAATTATATTAAATAGTTTGGCGATGAATGAAAATTCCGGATATTCTATGGTAGCCCAAATATATCGGCGGCAACGATTTCGAGGTAATTGAGCTTTTTCAACCTCTTTCAAATTTTCATCTTTGAGTACTTGAGCAAGAGCATCTTGACCCATATCAAAAAATGTGATTTCTTCAAGAAATGTATCGAGTGGTACTGAATTCGATCGACGTAATCGACCTTTCGATTGATAATAATAGAGAATAGCTTCAAAACATCCTCGATGACGATCAAAGAAATATTCATCAAGAACATTATCATAATAATATTTGCGTCGCTTTGCATTGCCTAACAACGTATTTGGATAGACTTCCAGAGTAGATTTGAATGTTTCGAAACGAACTCCACTTATATTAATAATAATACGATTTTCAAGTGAACTATCCATAGAACCATTTCGTCTTTCAGTTTCGACTATCTGCTGATGGGCTAGATCTCGCATATCGATGGTATCTCTAGTAAATCAATCGTCTGAGAGAAAATCATAAATTACATACAAGATAGAAGAAAACGAAACAGTACATTTATATACATGAGTGAATTGCAATTTTTTTGGTGTAATTGAGATTTTAACTATATTTGGCTAATAATTTTTGTTTCTATTAATCAATTTTTTATAGGCTACAGGTCTCTGAGTGTCCCACTACACTATCAAGGTTCAGCTCTTTAGTTCATAGTATCGATGATTTATGAGCCGTATACTAAAAAAAAACCCTATGCTATAGAAAGATGTATAAAAAAAAAAGAAATTTTTGAAACATCGAAGGAAAAGAAAAACAAGATAATGAATAGTCCATTTTGTAGAGCACGCTATATTCTGTGGAAATATATATCTTCCTCGCTTATGTATTCTTAATTTTCTTCTAAGACACACAAGTTGAAGGAAAACAAAGGTATCCAAAAGATGAAGAACTTGATTAACACACAACTGATAAAAAAAATAATTTCGTCTTAATGATCTTTTTTCTGTAGTAAAAAAAACGATATTTACTCACCTTGTAGAAGAACATTTTGAAAATTACAGTATAAATAACTTGTGAATGGCTCATTTATTCTGGTTCAAATTTTGTATTGAAATTATATTTTTTATAGGATTAAAAATTCAGCTTTGTATCTCTTTCTATTATGAAGAAATTAAGAAAATATGATACATTGTAAAAGGACATTTTTCATTAAATTAGCATTTTTTATGGTACATTTCCGTTGAAGTAAGTTATAATGCATTGTACAAAAATTGTTCAGGTCTACTTTCATTTTTTTTTCGCGGCAACTATACCAAAAAATTGCAATTCACTCATATACAAAAGTGTGAGTGTAAATAGAGAAGGACACAAAGCTCATCAAGGATTTAGATTACTTACGGACTACGTTCATGGAAAAATATATCATTCGTCTTGAATAGTTCTCGACTTCGTCTGAATCGATATATATATACAAACTAAGAAATATGAATGAGTCTTGTTATAGATGCGTACCTCTTTAAATTGATAAGAAATTGATGATCGATTAACAATGATTTTCGATTAGTAGTACTAATTCGACGTTGACAATGCGCAGATGGTAATGTGTCTGGTGTATCCATGTTTCAGTGATCTATGTAAATATATATGAGCATGGAGTGTGAACAGTCGATCAACAAACACTATTTCAATTAAGTGAGAAAATCTCGAAAATTTAATCATCTTGTTCAACACATTATCATATAATAGATTATGGTGAAATGTCTATATTATAAGTCATATTTCACATACCAGAATGAAGAATGATATGTTTTGAGAATTTTATTAATGAAAAAACTCGTTGTGCTGTAGGTCAAAAAACATTTTGAGCCATGAAAAACTAGCTCTATAGAATGTGAAAGCGATTTTGTGGTCAAAAATTGAAAAAAACCAAAGTGTCGAAAATTTGTTTCTCATTGAATTAGAGATTTCGTCTTCGTCGTCATTCACTTGTTGCGTGCATGCGTTTTCTAATTTATTCCAGACATTCAAACTTTGGAAAAGTATTTCATCTAGGATTTATAGAGATTTCTAATTGTCAACGTTTTATAACTTTACCTGCTGAAATTATACCGTACAAAGTTCTAAATAAAATACGATATATTAAAAGGTAAATGAAAAGAATCTGTTGATTATTTTATTCAATGACAAGTATGAAGTTATGTTTGTCGTTCGCTTGATAATATCTGATGTTTGATAGAAGAAAGAACGAAACAAGAAAAAAAAACTTACAGTGAGTCACTACAAGTAAATATATCTTTCTCTTAATTATCAAGAGTCTATTTGAGACATCAATACTGTTGACAAGAAAAAAAAGCAGAAACAATTTACATGAAAATGTCTTCTCATCGCAAATTAGTATCGGATAGGTATAGAAGGTGAGTGTGGGTATGGATAACTGAGTGGTTATTACTCTCAGCGTGATCCACATACACACCTCACAAATTTTAAAAAGTGTCCCATTGCTATAGCATTGTCAATGACACATGTTGATTCTGTTTCGCTTCATCTCAATATTAACTCTATTTTTATTTTCTCGAATGAGAAAAAAATACACTTGTTGACAGTCAACAAAGTACATCATTAGTAAATTGCTTATTGAAATTTTTGCGCAAATGATATAATTAATCAAGTGTATGTTGTGCAAGCGTATCGTGTTTTTCGCAAAAAGAAAGAGGAACAAATATATGCACAGCAAGCAAAATTCGCACAGTCTATGCAAATCATTTATTTGACACATGCAGAACGTGTTATTTTTGTCAAAAACAACAACAAGCGACCTCCATTTTCATACCATTGTAATCCAAAGAATAAGAGTAACGCTGTTCGATTCTAAATAAAGTACAGCGACATGAATTGACTTCTCATCTTTACAATATAAATATAAGTTAAAATCTGTTCGAAAAAGAATTCAAATAAGAGATGAAGAACAACGTAAAATCTACGGCATAGACCAACTTAAATTTAATTTGCATCTACCTTTTTGAAATTCATCTGATCTCCTAAATCATACATAGGACAGTTGCTATGTTTTTATCTTTCTAGTTTTTGTCAATATTGTTGATTGTCCAATTCTTCTAAATATATCGATGAAGATATCCCTCAAATTGATTTTCTCTCTGAAAAAAGAATTATTAAAATGTATCGATGACTGACATTTCAAGATGGTCTAATATGATTTCTCTCATCATGTATCGATATGCGTTCAAGTGTTTGAGAATGTGAGAGAGTAGACAAACATGAGCCACTATATATTAAACAATGAAAATAATATAATTTTCTTAGAAATTTGCTAATTGCAATAAATGTCTCAGATTAATCTTGAGATATGCACCAAAATCTTGTCGATGATTCGATCTTCATATCAGATCATGAGTGATTATGAATGATATCATTTGGAAAGACATATTGTTCAGTATTCTATTGTGTTTTTTTTTATTTAATTGTGGTAAAGAACAAGACAAAAATTGTTTTAGTCATGATTGAATAATTTTTCTGAATTTACTATGTATTACTTCCATTAATATCTCGAATGAATGAGAAAAATTTCACAAGTACTTATTAATTGAAAGGATTTTTCACTCTTGATGTGTGTCGAGGGTGGGGTGTGGGTGTGTGAGTATGAACGTTTGAAAAGAGATACCCACACCCACATTTACAGATAAATAGCCTACCACGGTAAGTGACGTTGATTGATTGCTATTATCAAACTCATTAAGAATAGCTGGAGACATAAGTGGAACAAAATGATTGGGACTCCATGTGCCATTATTCGTCTCTCTAGCATCTTTTTCATTCAAGGTGTGTGACCACAAAATTGAAATATTACAATTAGCAATAATAGGTGGGACAGGTGTGAAGACGTTATTCAAAATTGCCATATAATGTTGAAAATCAATTTTTGGATAAATACTTTGTATGTTACATTGAAGTACATTGCAGAGTGCAGCTATTTCGTATAATTCAGAAAATGTACAATTTTTGCAAATAGCTTTTATAGCAATGTCGATAGGTCCAACGTATTGTGAATACATTGTTTGATAATAATTTTCGTTTGTTACAAGTTCAATAATTGTCCGAACTAAAAATTATTTTAAAATAACTTGTACGATTATATAAAAGAAAAATAAATTTGTGTACCTCGTAATTCACTCGTCGTTACTGACGGATTATTCATCAAAAGAATAATAGAATGGTATAAACAATTTCCATCAGCAATGACATCGACCGGAACTAGATGATGTATATCACCAGTCGCTTTTTCAAGATATTTCTTAGCTTCGACACCTATTACGTGTTTTGTCTCACCGAAAACTTGAGTAGGATGAAATTGAAGTGGTATCATAATTGATTCAATCTACAATGTATTGTTTTATGTATTATAATTTAATCATTACTCTTATAAACTCACTTGTCGAACTCGTTGTACAACAAAATTGATTTCGTCGTAGTACATGATGCTTTCAGAACATTTTTCCAAAAGCTGAAGTAATCGTGTGAATTTTAGATCACGATTCATTTGATTACATAGTGTACAAGCATGGCCTGTACACAATGTAGTACAAAAAATACATCGTGTGCTCATATTTAGTTTTAGTAGTTTCGTTTGTATATTACAATCTACAATATCATATATATGTTTCAAGTAAATCAACTGCTTAAAACGTTTCTCTTAAAAACTATATTGTACGAACTTAAAATAGTTGGAAAGGCTGTCCACATATAACAATTCAGAAATAATCTTTGAACATTCTTCTAATATTATCTGATGGATAACTACTATAAGAATCCTATAACCCTCCTACTTTATGCTTTTCGTTTTAATAATCTCAACTTTTGTATGTACTCTTTTGCACTAGGGTAATAAAGCAAAGAAATACATACATCGATCTAATATTCGAACTTAATGATGTTGGCAAGTTTTATAAGAAGGCAAAACATATAAATTCAATTTTTCGTGCACTATAAAAGAAACTTCTATTATATTATCAGCTCACCGAAAATAACGCATCTGTAAATATTTAAAAAAAATAATGTCAGCAACTTAACATGCAGTCGCTATAATGAATAATATACAGAAATAATCAATTTTTAGAAAAATACTTAAGCAAGAATATTACAAAATTTCAAAATAATTAAAAACACCTAAACCTGTGAGATGGATGTTTACGCAGTTAATTAATGAACTGATATTTTTTTAATTTGATCTGAATATTATCATACAAAATCTAATATAATTTCTTACTAAATCGTTGAATAAAAATTTAATTCAATTCAAACATTTATATAATAATTATATCTGATCTATGCTCACGAATTTCTCGTAACATCAATCTTGTTGTAAACAATTTTTTTATTTCTAAGTAAAACGTGGGCTTCATTCTTATTAACTAATGAGACTGGTTCATTTTAACTCTTCATCTTGTCAAAAAACAATCATCCT